ACAACAACAACAACAACAACAACAACAACAACAACAACAACAACAACAACAACGACGACGACGACAGCCCGTATGCAGTGGTACCTGTGCCAGAGTTGCTCTCCGAGTTGAAGTTGTGTTGTCTGATCTCACTGTACCACTGCTCGGTCGCCTCCTCACCTGCAAGCGAACAAGCACACACACTTTAGTTTTAGTAAGAGTTTCACGGCACTTGCAACACAATAAGGTCACATACGGGCCGAAAATAAGAGGCGCTAAAGGCGCTTGCAACACAAAAAGGTCATGTTATAAGTGCCGAAGATTAGAGGTGTCACAAGAGAGTAACAAACACAAAAAAGAAGGAGGGGAGATAAAGACGATAGATATTTAGTTTTAGTAATTGTTTTATGGCACTTGCAATACAATAAGGTCATATAAGTGCCGAAGATTAAAGTTAGAGAGTAACAAACATAAAAAAGAAGGAGGAGAGATAAAGACAATAGATGTTTGATAGGAAAGATTGGAACAAGCCACACCAGAGCATCTGCCAACCACCCACCGATAGTTGTTTGATAGGAAAGAAGAAGCAAACCACACCAGAGCACCTGCCAACCATCCACGTTTTAGTAGGAATATTACGGCACTTGCAACACAAAAAGATTATACAAGAGGCGGAAATTACACGAGAGTAACACACACAAAAAAGGAGGACGGGAGTTAAAGACGATAGATATTTGATAAAGAAGAAGGAGCAAACCACACCAGAACACCCTCTAACCACCCACAAATTACACAAGGCAGACACTGGAATCATATTATATTCATCACCATAAGGGACAGTTCCACAATTAATGGTCACTTTTAAGGCGCTCGTATGACTTTATGCAGTTACGAGCGCCGTAAAAACCTTACCAAAATTACCAAACTAAAACTGTGATAACAGAAAAAAAGTCAATATGAAATCCTCGTGTGCAAGTTGCGCACGTTAAAGTAACTTAAAGATCCCCTGGTGGTCTAAAATCGATAAGAGTAGGCTTCGGCCGCCACCCGGGCAAAGTTCAAAATGTCCTACCAACTGATAATGTTTAATGTGTCCCGAGCGCTCGTATGACCTTATGCAGTTGCGAGCGCCGTATGTAAAACCCTCTACTATAAAAAAGAAAAAAGAAAAAAGAAATGAAATCTAGACCACCCTGAAGTAGTCGTGCGTTCTGCAGTAATCAACATAATCTGTTGTGTTTCTACGGGTCAGGTTTCCAGGATAAGAATAATTCTGACTTTGAATGTTCTCATGTCCCTATTTTGATACATCTTTCTCTCTCTCTCTTTCATTCTCTCTCTCACCCCCTCTCTCTCTCTCTCTTCCTCTCTCTCTCTCTCT